AGAATTTTGTAAGTATGGTAAAAACACCTTCATTCATAAAAACCTGAACTGAGGTCTATCAGGTGGCGTTCCTTGGCTTTGCATGGTGTGATGGCATGTCACGAGTGAAATCCTTTGTGTGTCCAGACCTAACCCTTCCGTGTAGTCACGTGACATAACACAGGCAAGGGCTCCAGTAGAACATGTTTGATTTTTGAATTGATGTTTGGCCTTGTGTATTCAGAAACCTTTTACTGTCAGCAGTTTCTCCACACTGCCTCACTTAATTATCTTAATTATACCAACCAGGGTAGGGGGTGACCCGCTGTTTGCAACGCCGAGAGAGTAGGAATGGGCTCTTGACAGAGCAGGGAATTTCCCATGGAGTAAAATAAGAAATGGCTTGGGCCTTTCCTTCAGGGTTATACTCAGATCATGATTTCATATTGATCACTCTGGGGGCGGCTGGGACCTATAACTTCCTGTAGGAGAAGAATAAAGAGACAGGCGTTCCCTACCATAGTAAATCTGTCATCACAATGTAGGAATGCCCCTCACAGGGTCTCAGTCTCCCTCTCTAATTAGTACCAGAAACAATAGTACCAGGCCAACCATTCAGAAACAAAATTCACTATTAGGGGGTTAGATATCCTACAACTTTGTCACTAGGTTATTTCATCACTTTTTCTGGGAAGACATTAACAAATGTCTCTTCATCCTGGATAGGGTAGCAATTACAGACCAAAGAAACATTCCCACCCAAATCTACCTTAGCCAACCTGCAAATTCTAGGATTACTTAGGGGTATAGGTGATGGGTGACTCTCAGGAGTTTGAATGACCCAAAGATAGTTGTGGCGATATATTATTTATGATCTAATAAAGCTTGCCTGAGGGTTCAGAATGCAAAGCCAGCAGCCATACTAGTTAGCCATAGAGGCCAGCAGTGGTGGCCACACCCTTAATCCCAGCACTCAGGAGATGGAGGCAGATGGATCTCTGTGAGTCCAAGGCTACACTGAGCTACATGAAACTGATCCAGTCTAAAAGAGAAACAGAGCTCACACAGAGGTGATCTCACTAATGCACTAATCCTAGCATTAGAGAGGAATAGAAGGAAGAAGGAAGAAGCAAAGTCAGTTTTAGAGATTCGTGGAGACAGGATCACCCATTTTTGGTCTGAGGTAGAGGTAAGAGCTAGTGGCTGGCTGCTTTGCTTCTCTGGTCTTCAGCTTGAAGCTTGAACCCCAATATCTGTCTCTGGGTTTTTATTATTCATGTTACACACAGCTACAATACCGGAAAAATCCCACCCATGCATGGTGATGTCTCAGAAGACACAGCTTCCAGCTA